ATCGGGCTCTGTCATATCTACACTTGAAACTGTGTATGGAGTCAGCCTCCACCACATCACCCCCTAATGCATTCCATTTGTCAACCACTCTGACACTAAAAAAGTTCTTTCTAATATCTCTGTGGCTCATTTGGGCACTCAGTTTCCACCTGTGTCCCCTTGTGCGTGTTCCCCTTGTGTTAAATAGACTGTCTTTATCTACCCTATCAATCCCCTTCAGAATCTTGAATGTGGTGATCATGTCCCCCCTAACTCTTCTGTCTTCCAGCGAAGTGAGGTTTAATTCCCGTAGTCTCTCCTCGTAGCTCATACCTCTCAGCTCGGGTACTAGTCTGGTGGCAAACCTTTGAACCTTTTCCAGTTTAGTCTTATCCTTGACTAGATATGGACTCCATGCTGGGGCTGCATACTCCAGGATTGGCCTGACATATGTGGTATACAAAGTTCTGAATGATTCTTTACACAAGTTTCTGAATGCCGTTCGTATGTTGGCCAGCCTGTCATATGCCGCTGATGTTATCCGCTTGATATGTGCTGCAGGAGACAGGTCTGGCGTGATATCAACCCCCAAGTTTTTTTCCTTCTCTGACTCCTGAAGAATTTCCTCTCCCAGATGATACCTTGTATCTGGCCTCCTGCTCCCTACACCTATCTTCATTACATTACATTTGGTTGGGTTAAACTCTAACAACCATTTGTTCGACCATTCCTTCAGCTTGTCTAGGTCTTCTTGAAGCCTCAAACAGTCCTCTTCTGTTTTAATCCTTCTCATAATTTTAGCATCGTCCGCAAACATTGAGAGAAATGAATCGATACCCTCCGGGAGATCATTTACATATATCAGAAACAAGATAGGACCGAGTACAGAGCCCTGTGGGACTCCACTGGTGACTTCACGCCAATCGGAGGTCTCACCCCTCACCGTAACTCTCTGCTTCCTATTGCTTAGATACTCCCTTATCCACTGGAGCACCTTACCAGCTACACCTGCCTGTCTCTCCAGCTTATGTACCAGCCTCTTATGCGGTACTGTGTCAAAGGCTTTCCGACAATCCAAGAAAATGCAGTCCGCCCAGCCCTCTCTTTCTTGCTTAATCTGTGTCACCTGATCGTAGAATTCTATCAAGCCTGTAAGGCAAGATTTACCCCCTCTGAATCCATGTTGGCGATTTGTCACGAAGTCCCTTCTCTCCAGATGTGTTACCAGGTTTTTTCTCACGATCTTCTCCATCACCTTGCATGGTATACAAGTCAAGGACACTGGCCTGTAGTTCAGTGCCTCTTGTCTGTCGCCCTTTTTGTATATTGGGACCACATTCGCCGTCTTCCATATTTCTGGTAGGTCTCCCGTCTCTAGTGACTTACTATACACTATGGAGAGTGGCAAGCAAAGTGCTTCTGCACACTCTTTCAGTACCCATGGTGAGATCCCATCTGGACCAACAGTCTTTCTAACATCCAGATCCAGCAGGTGTCTCTTGACCTCCTCTCTCGTAATTTCGAACTCCTCCAAGGCCGCCTGGTTTACCTCCCTTTCTCCTAGCACAGTGACCTCACCCTGTTCTATTGTGAAGACCTCCTGGAACCTCTTGTTGAGTTCCTCACACACCTCTCTGTCATTCTCTGTATACCTGTCCCCGCCTGTTCTAAGTTTCAATACCTGTTCTTTCACTGTTGTTTTCCTTCTGATGTGACTGTGGAGTAGCTTTGGTTCGGTCTTGGCTTTGTTTGCTATATCATTTTAAAAAATTTTCTCTGCTTCTCTTCTCACCCTGACGTACTCATTCCTGGTTCTCTGGTATCTCTCTCTGCTTTCTGATGTTCTGTTATTCCTGAAGTTCCTCCACGCCCTTTTGTCCAGTTTCTTCGCTTCCATACATGCCCTATTATACCATGGATTCTTCTGTTGCTTCTCGGATTTTTCCCTTTGGGCCGGGATGAACCTGTTTACTGCCTCCTGACACTTTTGGGTAACATAGTCCATCATACCCTGTACAGACTTGTCTCTGAGGTCTGTGTCCCAAGGTATTTCACTTAGGAAACTTCTCATCTGTTCATAATTCCCCTTTCGGTATGCCAGCCTTTTGATTCCTAGTTCTTTTTGGGGGGAGATAAGTCCTAGCTCTACCAGGTACCCAAAGTTCAATACACTGTGGTCACTCATTCCCAAGGGCGCTTCCATCTTAACTTCCCTTATATCTCACTCATTTAGGGTAAATATCAAATCAAGCATTGCTTGATTGTGTGTGTGTGTGTGTGTGTGTGTGTGTGTGTGTGTGTGTGTGTGTGTGTGTGTGTGTGTGTGTGTGTGTTTATTTCGTTGCCTTGTTCTGCTGTATTGTGCGTTTTGGGTTTCGTTTTGTGTGTGTTTTATCTGCTATTTGAGTGCGTTTTGGGTGTTATTTTAAGTATGTTTTATCTGGTATTTAAGTGCACTTTGAGTGTCGTTTAGTGTGTGTCTTATCTGCTATTTGAGTGCGTTTTGGATATCATTTTGTGTGTTTTTTTCTGCTGTTTGTGTGTGCATACACGTGCATTCATGCGCATGCATGTCCAGTATACTCACCAATACCTGGGTTGTGTTTCAGCTCCTGTTCCCCGCCAAAACATCCAGTCCCGAAATCTACAAGGACGCGTCTATTATGGTTTATGAAGAAATTTACTCTGAATTCGACATTGTCGAATACAGCTGCATTTACGTTATCGAGCGGATAAGGGATACTGTCCTCTTCAGGGTTCGTATCCCATCAAGACCGAGCTTGCATGAGCTCTATAATGCAATAAACCAGGAGAAGGGAAGGGAACTATCAGGGAAAAGCGCGAATCCATCACGACTATATAGCACTTGGAATGGGTCAGGATAAGGATTGGGATGGGGAGGGGGAAAGGAATGATGCCCAATCACTTGTGGACGGTCGGGGATTGAACGCCGACCTGCATGAAGCGAGACCGTCGTTTTACCATCCAGCTCAAGTGGTTGGTAAAGCGAGCGGAAAATTATTCTAGTGATACAAATTTATATTTTTTATTAAGGTTAGGTTAGGTGAGGTGAGGTTAGGTTAAGTTTGGTTAGGTTAAGTTTGGTTAGGTTAGGTTAGGTTAGGTGAGGTTAGGTGAGGTGAGGTGAGTTGAGGTTAGGTTAGGTTAGGTTAGGTTAGGTGAGGTGAGGTTAGGTTAGGTTAGGTTAGGTTGAGGTGAGGTGAGGTGAGGTGAGGTGAGGTGAGGTGAGGTTAGGTTAGGTTAGGTTAGGATACCTGTAACACTTGCGGTAATTCTGGTGCTGTAACTATCAGAGACTGGGCGATCCCTGAATAACAATTAGTGTATTCATGGCATTTCTCGCTGCTCTAATTTACTGTTTACCCGGTGGTGCCCGGGAGAGTCAGTCTCTACCCTCCCTTACCCATTCCACCTCTCTTCTTTCTCTCTCTTCCTTCATCTGACATCTTCACTACTCAATATCTTCAATGCTTATGCTATCTTCATCGCCATAATCATCTTCACTATTCATTTTCTTCGTCACTGTAACCGAATGAATTCAGTTCATCGTTTTCCAGTACATCATGACAATGCGCGGGAAAACGGCGGGAGTAATAACTCATTGTATCGAGGGGACCGGAAATCAGTGTTTATATTCAAGTTAAGCTTATATCAAAGGTCCCTCGCAAGGTCGAACTACTGACCCTCCCCAGGACGCAACCCCACAGCAAGCTGAATACCGCCTGCATACCCATATATTCCTAGGTGAACAGATGCATTTGGTGAAACTTGCCCCAAACATTCTGCCCCGCACGAGATTCGAACCCAGATTTACCGATTGTGCGTCAAGAACGAACCCGACTATACTACCGAAACCCTTTCAATGCAAACAGAAAATTGACGAAACGAATTATCAAATAAATGCTTAACAAATGGGGAGGGGGAAGAAGAAGATAAGAAAAATAAGTAGACCACTGCAAGAGCAGAGAGGAAGGAGGCAAAAAAGACGGGTAGGAAGGAGTTAAATCGTGATGGCCCTCCCCCCCCCAAGCTCTCGGACGTAGGTTCAAATCCTCATCACGGCCCTTGTGGACTTGTTAAAGTATGTCCATAATAAGACCTGCAGGTCAGGTTTGGCCACCATACTATAGCAGGTACAGAGAAAATTTACAAACTTAATTCCATAAATTGGATCTTTTTTTGTGAAGAATTATTTAAAATTTTAATGTACAATTTCTAGAAACGCCAAAACAAAGGTCATAATAAATGTTTGTAAATATATGAGACGGTTTAACGAGGAAAATAATAGCGTTTAAATAAATCAACTCAAAACTGATCCCTAACCCATAGAAGCAGACTGGGTAATTTAGATTCAGAAAAACCTGAAGTAAATGCTGTTTCGGGACTAATTGATGTTGATCTCATTTTATGGTACTAATATTTTCTCTTACAAACATCACATTCCAGTTGTTTCATTGTTCATGAAAATGATTAGTTGCGTATGAATAGGAGCTGCCACTCAGGGGTCAATTGGCTTTCAGTTTCTTCTTTCATGTGAGTTCATGCTATATTTAAATAAGAAAATGAAGATTGTATAACAAACAAAGCAAATGAACTGAAGCCAAACAAGGTCCAGAAGCATGCTACCAATCTATTTCCTGAAATATTAAACACCACATGCAAAACGTAAGAAAATTTACATGCCAGGCAATAACGGATTATTTGGCATGGAAGACACACAAAATAGGGAACACGAGAGGACAATACCTCCCCTCAACAGTCAACAGGCATATTAGAAAGTATTGCTTAAGTGTAAGATAAACAAGTTATAGACTGTACTAGGAAGTGAAAAAGTGGAGACACTCCTAACTCAGCTTCTAATGTCGATATGACAGAGCCTTGAAAGAACAGTACCAATGAGTTTTATTTTACATATTTCACAATGAATATGAACATTATGCACGATGATTGAAATTAAATTAATTTCTTTTAGGAAACCAATAAGGTGATATCTGTTGTAGGTGCGGCATGTACGTCCACCTGCCGTACACGCCCAGAGAGACGCAGCCAGTGTGGGTTGCCTCCTGGACGCCCAAACACGGTCTCGCCCTCTCCTCTTCTCTCCAGCTCTTCCCAGAGAAGTTTTACAGGTTGACAGTGAAGAATATTTTAAAATTAAATGTGTGTGTGTGTGTATGTAATCGCCTATTGTACTTGCAGGATCGAGCTTGATTCTGGGATCCGGCCTTTCTAGCTCCTGGTTGTTTAATGCAAGGACTTGTCCTATTTCCCTATCTAATCTAGTATTAAAATTACAATTGAGTTTGGTTCCACAACCTGCACCTTAAGTTCATTCCATTTTCCCACTACTCTCACGCTAAAAGAAAACTACTTAATATCTCTGTGATTCGTCTGAGTTTCCAGTTTCCACCCATGTCCCCTCGTTCTGTAAGTATTCAATGTGACATGTCACCTATTTCCACTCTGTCAATCCCCCCTAAGTATTATATATGTTTCTTTCATGTCTCCCCACTTCCTCCTTTTTTCTTGCATCGTCAGGTTCAGTGCATTCAGTCGCTCTTCATACCTCATCCTTCCTAACTCTGGAACGATCTTCGTCGCAAACTTCTTAACTTTTTCCCGTTTCCTTATGCGTTTGCTCAGGTGGGGGCTTTATAATGGGACTGCATACGCTAAGACTGGTCTCAAGTAAGCAATGTAAAGCACCCTAAATGCCTCCTAACTTAAGTTTCTGAATGACATTTTAACTTTTGCTAGCATAGATTACGCTGCTGTCGTTATCCTATTTATATGTGCCACATGAGTTAGATTAGGTGATACATCCACTCCCAGGTCCCTCTCTCGAATCGTCACAGATAGGTAGTTTTCCTTCGTTGTGTACTGTCCCTGTACCAACCAACTTGTGCTTGTGGGGATTGAGCTTCGGTTCTTTGGTCGCGCCTCTCAACTGTCAACTGTCACTCTATCAACTTAGCAACTAAGCTAGCCACAATAAGGAAGGATTCTAGAGGCACCAATTGCCTAGAGACGTCGAGGTCTTGCCAATATACTGAGATCTTTAGGGCCGACATTTCCCAAGTGGGCATATGAAGGCATAGACGACGTTAGTCTCTTTTAACAAGTTCTGTTTCGTGTTTGGAGAATTCTTCATAAGTAGGTTGGCGGTCTACTTGCTTTTGTAATATATTGTTAATTTTATCTTCTGATTGGTGTCTGTAGAGATAACGTTCCAATCAATAATATTTTTCAGGACTCTTTCCTCCATTGTATAAGTCATGGAAAAGAATATCCTGTAAAACAGTTTGATAGGGAGTACGGGTGTTGTACAGGTTGCTTCTTCATGGGTTGCATGGCATGTCACCTTTCTTTTAATGGCGCCTTCAACGTAACCGTTAGAGAAGCCATTATTGACTAGGATCTGCCTTACTCTACATAGTTCCTCGTCGACCTGCTTCCAACTAGAGCAATGCTTGAGAGCTCGATCGACGTAGGCGTTGACAGTACTCTGCTTGCACCGGACCGGGCAGTCACTGTTAGCACTCAGGCACATTTATATGTTAGTTTCTTTAGTGTAGACTGCAGTATGAAGACCTCTATTTCTTTCCGTGACTGTTACATCTAGAAAGGGCAGCTTCCAATCACTCTCCATCTAGCAAGTGAAACTTAACACCGAATTTTGCTCGAATGCCTCCTTCAGCTGCTGTACACGTCTGACATCAGGAACCTGTATGCAAATCTCGTCAACACACCTGCAGTGTATGGTGGGTTTCAAGTCCATGTCAACTAAGACCCTCTGCTCTATGGTACCCATGTAGAAGTTCGCAAACAGGACACCTAGGGGAAAGCCCATGGCGACCCTATCTACTTACTTGTACATGTGCCCATCGGAACTCATAAAGGGTGCCTCTTTAGTGCAGGCTTGGAGTAACATTCTCAGTATGCTCTCTGGTATGTCAAGAGGAGTACAAGCCGGTTCACGATACACTCTCTCCAGTATCATCCCAATTGTTTCATCCACAGGTACGTTGGTAAACAGCGATTCCACATCCAAAGAGGCTCTTATCCCTGTGGCCGTGCTCCCCGCAGTAAGTCAACGAATTCCTTTAGAGACTTCAGGCTAAAGGCACAAGGTGCACAAAGAGTCAGCAGGCAGTTGAGTCGCTTAGCCAGTCTGTTGTGGGTGTGGGGTATCTGGCTGATGATTGGCTGAAGTGGGTTTCCAGGCTTGTGGTGTCTGAAAATGTGAGAAGTCCTTGCGAAATGCGGTTAAGCGTCAGACCATAAATAAAAAATGAGAAAATGAACTTTGGAGAGTTAATTTTTCAATTACCCCCACAGTGAAGAAAAAGTAAGAAATATTAAGAAAATTCGTTTTAGAACCATTAATCTTACTCTTTCGGTCTTATTCAACAACATATGTTTACAAGAAAGACTGCTACCAAAATATACTAACATATATGCAAACAAGCTTGAATGGTCCCCAAGCCAAAACGCAACTGAAAACTCCACACCCCCAGAAGGATTCGAACCCAGACAGCCAGGAGCACTATGCACCATGGCGTACCTGGTACCGTACATTTGTGTACCTCTCTTCATTCATGGGGGACCCTCTTGACAGTTTGCTAGCCTTATTATTGTACTCAGCTGATTGCAGATAATATTTATCTCAAACTTTCGAAGTCGCTATGGGGTCTCCTCTCTTCCCTATTCTTGTCAATCTCTACATGGAATATATCAAAACCGTTCTTCTTCCCACTTTGATACTAGTCTCTATCTCTGGCTTCGCTATGTTGATGACATTTTTATCTTTATCGCCTTATGACCTTCGTCTTTTCCAGCCTTTCCTCTACTCTCTTAACAATCTCGATCCTTCTATCCGTATCAAATTTGAATAGGAATCTAATTCCTTTCTTCCTTTTCTTGATGTTCATGTTCAGAGCTCTGTGTCCTGGTTCTCTTTCTCTGTCTACCGCAAACCCATGCATAGTGGCATGTACATTCACATCTTTTCCTTCTATCCTTCTACTGTTAAGAAAATTGTCCTTGTCTCTCTACTTCCATGCTCTACACATCAGCGACCCTTAGTTTCTTGATTCTGAAATTTCCTTTATTTACAAATCTTTCTCTCGCCTAGCTTACCCCCATACATTTTTTCAATTGTGCCGTTTCTCAACCTAAAAGAAATTTCTTTCATCCCAAACCTAGTTCCAACAATAGTACTACTGTGCTCTGCCTTCTATTCATATCTGAAATCTAGAATCTCACTAATACCGCTTCGTCCACTTGACATAAAGCTCGCCTTTTGACAAACTAACTCTCTTTGTAGTAATCTGGTTCACACTGCTCCTCCTCCTGCTGCTGATGTTCATTGTATTTCCTGTTCGTCTTGTCCTCTCCAATACTTTGATGAAACTGGCCGCGCACTAAATAACAGACTTTCGGAACACAAAGAAGTGTTAAGTCTGCAGACACAAACAATGCTCTCTTCTGTCATATTAGGGGCTCTAATCATCCTATTGATTGGTCTACTTCTAAAATAATCTTTCCTGCCTCAACTCTTTACAGACGCCGTCTTGTCGAATCGGCTCTAATACACAACTTACTCAACATGAATCTTAGTCCTGGCTTTGTTGCTGTTGACTCTTCCCTTTCAAAGTATATACGCAAATGCACTAAACTTTCTAACAAACGTGACTTAACTTAATCCTACCCATCCTTTTTCTCTTTCTTTTTCTTTTTACTTTTATTCTTATTATTACGTTCCCTTTTTTATACCCATTATTAACCCATTCTTGCACCATTTTATTACACCCATCCCATCTGTATCTTTTGCCCTGCTCTTACCATCCTCTAGAAATTTCCTCTTCCTCTTCCTGACTTCACTCTTACCTTACTTAATTACGTACCTCCCTAGCTCCACGCATTCTCCACAGCACCACACCCGGTCCACACCAGTAAGCCCAACTAACTTCACAAAACATCCCTCGCCACTCCGACCCGTTTAGGAAATTTTAACAACAATAGTGCGCCACAAACGCCTGAAAATCAGGACTCGCCCAATGGACAGCCCATGCTTTCACCAAAAGCAACGTCTTGAAGAAGGAGAATGCCGGCACCTAAAAGAAAGTGCCGGCACATTGCGCCCATTGACTTTGGTCAAGAAGGGGAGAATATTGAGCTATATTTCTTGTGTGTGTGTGGAAGATCTCAAAGAACTCCAAAAATTCGATTGCACACTTCGCCAAGTGCACCACCTCTGTCCTCTCTTCCCACGTCAATAGACCGCCGACCGAACAGTATCAACGGGACCAGCCGCTGGATCATGGTCTGCAAATAAATGGAGATCATTACCAACATCGAGGAAGAACACCCGAACCTGGGGAAATTCGTGTTATATTCTGCAGCACCGATACCGACGACGACAAGCGCCTCACCATGAACATATCCTTCACCACCTTAGCAGTGGCTAACCAGGCTGCCACACATGGTCTCCACTGCTTTCGGCATCAAGATCCCTTCCTTCCAAGTGAAGAAGGAACGATTCCACGAGTTCCAACAGTGCTTTCGGTGCTATGATTACCCCCACCCCACCAACAGGTTTCAGCACCCTGTCCAGAGGTGCAGCCTTTGCGACCAGGACCATCATTACTTCTACTGCAAGTCAAAAACTCATTGCTGCCTACTCTGCAGCGGCGTTCACCTTGCAATTTAGCACCGCTGCCCTCGCAGACAGGAAATCATTAGGATCCAGGCTGAACCCAATCAAGTCAAACCTTCTACTTCCGCCGGAACCTCCGGCACCAAACCCAGCACCTCAGCTCCCACCAACCTACCAGAAGACTTCCCAGTCCTCCAAAGAGTGGCTCCTCCCTAGAGGCCACTCAACCTCCACACTCAGGATCTAAGGACCAACCATCACCCCTCACAGACCCTTGCAACACGTGCAAGCATTATCCCTGGTCTTATTCAACTATCTGAGAGGCTTGCCAGACCAGACAATTAACAATTCGTTGCAGAAATCAACACACTGTACCTAACCAATGGCCTGGACCCCCATCATCGCCTAAGACGCAAGTCTCACTGCCTCTACTACCACTCCAGAGACTACCGAGGTCTATCTCAACACAGG